AACTGAGTGATCTCCTGGGGTGGGGAGGAGGAGCTGAAGCAGCTGAAGAAGGGGGGGGGGGCAGGGGCAGAGCCATTGAAGACACAGCAGGTGGTTGTGAGACTGATGGGGCACAGTGAGAGGTGTCCTCCCCGAACAAGCCAAGCTGGTGCCTGCTGTGGTGCGCTGCATCTCAGGGCAGCACCACGCCATGCAGCTGGCCCTGCTCTCATCCAGTACGTGCTGCCATCGTGCACCAAGCAGAACTTGCTCTCCCTAGAACATCCCCGTGTCACATCTGCACAGCTGTTGGTAATGGTGCCCTGCACAGGGCAATCTTGCTCAGGCAAGGGGAATGAGATGGTCATGCTGAAAGCAGTGCAATGAAAATATCAAACAAAACCGAACAATGAAACAGGGAGGATATACAGCACGAACTTGGACCTTAGCCTGGTGATACCTAGAGGTAAGCTACCACTGTAACTTTCTTAGACTGCTATCTAGGAAGGGACCTTCACCTGTCAAGTAATCTGTAATATGGAGTAGATTTTACTGTCTAAATGATACCAGGATTTAGATGACAGTTCATCTGAAATGGAGGGAGCCATCCACTGCTTGGAGAGAAAAAGGGAAAGGCTGTTTAGCCCCCTTTGTGGAAAGCCATTACTGAATATCTTTGCTGTTAATTGTGTGATTCTAATGTCACAAGGGGGGTGCAAAAGATCTGCTTTGGGCAGATTTACACAAAAGTAGAGCTGGGGGAAAGCGATAAAAAACTAAAAAAGAATGAAGTTAAGTATTAGGACAGCAGGAGTCCATCCACATTTGCTCAGAAGAGGAAGATCAGGAATGTGATCTTGAGCAAATGTTGGGTCCTCCGTCAATGCTTCCCACACCCAATATGGCAATGCAGGTTAGTCTCCATACATCAGAGTTGTTCTTTAATGGAGTTAAATTGGTATCAATTAGGCAGTAAAAAGGAGAGCCTGACTGCTAAGCTGTGCTTCAGCCTGTTTCTCAGTCACTTGCTGGATGATTTTAGTGGTTTGGTTGGTGTTGTAAACCCCAATGCTGGTGAAAGGGGCTGATGTCGTCACTCAGTTTTATTCCTCTTGAAATTACCAAATGCAAAGTTAGACAGAGCAAATTGGCCTTGCCCAAGACATGCTGCTCTGCTCTTATTTAAATTGGCACTAAAACTGCCGGACTTCTGCAATAGTCTGCTCCACTCTGAACTTCCATCAGCTAATTCAAATAAGGAGAAACGATGTTTCTGGCATTTACTCTTCCACTGCACCCTGCCTCTGAGTGGTTCTGCACATCTCTGTTAGCTCGTCCCTCCCCAGTGGAGTCAAGGAGCCCAGGAGCAGGTAAGTGGCAATTACAGGCGGGTGAGTAAGGAGTGGGATTTCAATCACTGATGAAGGGGGCAAAACTAGATGGCAGGGAAGGGACTTAGAGGGAGAGAAGGCAAAGACAGTGGACAAAAGAGGGAGCTGGACTGTGGCTTTCTTGAGGACACAGGGCAGGAGGTTGGGTCTCTGTGGGAGAAAAGGGTGGTATAAACATTTGTATGTCACACCCAGGAAAACAAGGCAGACAGCAAAGGAGGTGCGGGAACAGGGGATGAGCACTGAGCTGTACAGCAGCAGGAGTGTGATAGAAAGCAGGGACAAGAATAAGGACAGTGAAATGACTGGTTGCTGCTCTTTCCCTTTGAGAATTTCTCTCCACATAAGGCATATGTATCAGAGTGAGTATTTAGGAGAGGCAAGGCTTATTTCATCCTTAATTAGGCTTACTCATACTACAGAAGTCTCTGGGCTTGCCGAGGAGCTGAGATATACAGTACTATTCAGTATATTCAATCCATCAGACTGCCATTTTTATATAGCAGTTTGTACAGGTCAGAGCCCTTCATAAGCCACCCAATGTCCTGAAAATTTGTCATTAAATTGAATTAAGAGACAGGTCTTTCTATAGTTCTTCTGATAAAGTGGTTTAAATCAGGTAAAAAAAAAAAAGAGAGGCTCTTGAAGAAACAGGAGTCACACATGATAAATGAAAAAGGAACAAATCACAGGCCCCGGTATTATCTGTCTCAGAACTCTGAGGGAGATGATGGAGCTTGTAACAAAATCACGCTGTTAATAAAATTGGTTATGAGACTGGAGTGCTGTATATCTATGAGTCAACAGCTAAAAATAAAGGGAGCATGTTAGAGAATATCTTTAAAATGAAATTACACCTTTGCTCATGTCACAGTATATCCATGAGGACTGTCTGGATTCTGCAACTGGTTCCTCCTAAGAATGATTGCTTTTACTTGGAAAGGAAAGGCAAGATGGTATTTGTAAAATATGCCTTGAGATAGAATTCTGCAGTCCTGCGGTTGAGTGGCCGTGTTCCTCTACAGCAGCAATGCTGGATTTAAACAGGAGAGGGCAGTCATGACCAAGCATCCGAGCATACTGAGGGATTTCTCTTTCTAGACGGAAGATATTTGAAAAAGGTAAATTTTTTTAAAATGATTAATAAAGCTTCATCATCCAAAAATAAATCTTCTCTAGACATCATGTATCAAGAGTAGTATAAATAATTACAAATTAAAACCTGTCTAGAAAACGAATGTTTGAGGTGTCCTTAAGCAGCACTATCCCAAATGCTGACAAAACCCCTGAAAAATCAGGAGGGTTTGAACAGCATGCTAATCTTTTTGATAGCCTCATTTCTAAAACTCTTGTGAGATCTTAAAGAGACTGCAATGGGGAGAGCTGGGATGGAAGCTGAACCAAGACTGATGAAACCTGGATGCTGTTCCCCACTGCCGTTTGTGAGCTTGGACAAGATATTTGCTGTGCCTGTGCCTTAGTTTCTTCTTTTGAAAGTAGAGTTAAATGTTAAAAAAGTCCATGAAAATGACTACAGGGTTGCACTTTATACTGCAGGACACTGATAGTAGGTTAAGATCACCATATCAAAGCTAGGCAGTCAGTATGGATAATGCTGTTCACAGATATTAAAATATCTTTTTCCTTGTTGAGAGATGATTGAATTTTTTCAGTGCATACTGGGCTTTCTCATGCTGTTCAGCTGACACTGTTTGCAGTGCTTAGGTGAAAAAACACCTTCCCTAGGCATTTGTAAAAGACAGTATATAAGGTATGTTGCTAGACCTCAGATGAAAGCATGAGCACCTTGGTTAGCAGGGAGTGCCCTCTTCAAACTCCCTGTGCAGTTTGGAAAGTTGTATTCCCTTTCCCAGTTTCTACTTTATCCTCAGCAATAGCAGTGTACAATAAGTAGGCTTATCTGCTGTCCCCTGCATGAAGGGAACTCACATGTTGACCTTGGTGACAGGATCTTTGTTCTTCGCCATGCAAAGGGTATAATTTAGAACAGATGGGGTATGCCCACACGCCTTGTGGGAGTACAAATACAGAGACATGCTCTCCACCTGAAGTGCAGGTGAAGATAATTTGCTTTGGTCTGCAACATGTGGACATAGGCAAAGTAATCTGATCGCTATCTGAGACAGCTGGGAAGTCCTTTGGTATCAAGCTCCCCAGCTCTCCTTCTTTTTGAAGTTAGGCATACAAACTGATACAATTTCAGGGCACTTTGTAATCCCTAGATAAACAGAGGTAGAAAGGAGGGAGCTCATTTATAGATCTTCTTTCTGCACTTCCACCTTTCTGAAGCACTGTGCAGTATGCTGGTAGGGAGAAGGCTCTGCATAAGGTCTATCTGCCTGATGAGGAAAGCAGAATCCAGCTGCAGGATCACCATCTGCGACCTTCAGGGCCCAGCAAGATCCTCAAGGCTGCAGCTCCTTCCTGCTATCTCTGCTAACTTGAAGGGAAAAAACAGGAGAAGAATAAGGACATTCTTGGTATGCACTATCCCAGACAGTTTCAAATGAGCACTGGGGTTTAAAAAAACATGTTTTATTATTTAAATAAAAGCAACATGGTTCTTCCTTTCCTTGTGAGGATGCAGGGCATACAGAACAGCTGCATATGTAACTGCTGTTTAATTCAAGACCCAGACAGTGTCATTAAACATATTTTCTGGTAGAGCAAAATTACTTCAATAGGAAATTGTATTTGTCTCGCTCGTGAAAATGCAACTTAGAATATTGTTATGGATGTTGCTTCTTTTTTTGTAGGTGTTAGTGTAGCTGTATAATTAAGGGTCTGTCAGTATTTTCATTAAAATATTTTCATTTTTCAGGATGTGTAAGTTAGCCTTAAAAATGAAAGCTTAATGGGTGAGTCTCCTCTTCACAAGCCAAACAGCACTGTAACTACACAGCTACCTAAAAAATGAAAAAGAAAGGAAAAAAAGAAGATTATGTTTCTAGGTTCTCAGAATCACCAGGGCAACATTGACTGAAGGTGCAGAAAGACCCAAGCATATATTCTACTACATATATGGGATTAATGAACATTTTTCCAGATGAGTAACTGCTAAATTGGTAAATCTCTGTATTAACATATGAACAGATTGCTGCAAATGTAAGCAATAATTTGAGTAGTTGTGCCAGATTGCTGCTACTTAACTAGTAGCTTCAGCTATCCCCCTGTTTAGGAGGTAATCATGACTTCGGGGTTTATTAGAGCAAAATGATATGCCTTTGTATCCAGCTTTCCTCAGTGCCTTGTCGCACTGTGGAGCAGCTGTGGTTCTCCAGACAAATCCTCCTTTCCCCTGCGCTCGTAGGGGGAAGCTCCAGGCTAGAGCTCGGATCCCACACCTCCTTTCGGCCCGTCCCTCTCTTCAGGTCTTGCTTTCGGTGTCTGTGTGTAGTACCCAGCGCTCCCAGGGCCCCAGGCTTTTCAGGGATGTGGGAGGACGGGGAGCCCGCCCGGGGACGGACGGGCGGGCGGGGCCGGGCTGTCGCCATGGCAACGGCGCCTTAAAAGCGGGCGGGGGTGGCGGCGGCGCTGCCGCGGCCATGGATCACGGCAGCCCCGTGGTGAGGGGCCGGGCCGGGGGCTGCCCTTCCCTGCGGGATGGGGGAATCGCCTCCCTCTCCCTGCCTCCCCCCTTTTTGTCGTAGTCGTCGTCGTTGTTGAAAATGACACATTGCTGGCAGTGCGGGCGGAAGGGTCGTGTCCGGGGTTGGCGTGAGGCGCTGGGGAGCTCCAGCGAGGCGCTGTGCGAGCTCGGCAGTGCCAGGGAGGGAAGTGGCGGCTTTTACCCCCGCCCCGGGTTTCATCTGCTCCTGTCTCTCCGTTCGTGGGGCTTCGGGTGGTCCCTCGGGGGACAGTAATCCCAGGGGAGCCTTGGAGGCTTCATTTTTAGATTCACTCCGGGCTTTGCCGCAATGGAGTGTCGATAAGCTCTTCCTGCCGCCCCGCTGTGTACAAAGAAAACTGGAGTTTGACAGTTCCCGCTATGGATGGCCTGGTTCCGGCAAAAGAGTGCCTGTGTGTGAAGGGATAAAGCTGGAGTACAACAATGTCTGCACTGTAACCATTTTTCTCTAATTTGGAAGCATGTGGTGTTTGAATTTTACAGTCACTACGTTCAGTTTTTATGTAGCATAATAAATATTTGTACTCACTCTAGTTTGGCAATTCTGGGGAGAGTAATAGGCCTGTTGAAAGATTTACATTAAGTTTCTCTTCTGGATTAACAGTGAAGGCAGAGCATTTGACATGGGCTGATCAACAGCTTTTAGTGCAGTGGTACAAGGAAAAAAACCTTTTTTTTCCTCCTCATCTTCCTAGTATCCTGAAATGTGGTGGAGAATTTTTGGAGATCACTAACCCCAGATAAAAAATTATACATGAGTATGGTTATTTTAAAGTAGTGCTATATTGTGTTGATTGCTTTTTCAAAAAATGTAATGTGTTGCTTCTTAATAACTTCTATTTAAAAAAAAAATGAAATTACTTATCATCTGCACTTTAGAATAACTTTAGAGCAGTAAAATATTAATTTGATGCTAAAAAAAATGAAAATTAATAACCTAGAATCCTCTGTTTCCTAAAATATCTTAGCTTCATCTTTCACCTTGTGTAGGCTATTCTGGCGATGATGATAATCAAGATTAATAAGGTTTAAATTGCTACAAGCTAATTATCTTACTTTGGAGTGTATGAATGTTGAAGCTCATGTGTGTCTGCTGTCCAGGTCTAACTGGAGCATTAGGATTTAATCACTTACATGGGCAGAAGAAGGAATAAAATGTTCTGTTGAAGTCCTATTGTAATATAAGATGAATGATATGTATTTGATAATGATAATGTTAAAATTTCCTTAGCTAATCCACCATACAGCATCACACTGTTTCCACAAAGAAAAAATAAATAAATCTTTGTTATTTTTTGCAGGTTCCTTACATTCTGCTTCTGATGCAATAGGCACATCTCATTTTTAGTAGCTTGTACTGTTGGTTGGCCTTTAAGTTAGGGGCAATGATTATAGAATAATACAAAGTGGTTGGATGTGCTTGTTTGAAAAGAGGCACAGCAATTGTTTTTGTAATGTTTCTAGGATTTTCTGAAACGTTTCTGTAGCCTAACTAATAATTTGCTGCTCAAATCCAGTATTTTTCTAGGGATGTCAGATTTAAAAGAATGAGTGGAATTGCAGACCTTCATGTTTGACATTCAGTTTATTAAACTGATCTGTTCTTGCTGTTCAGTTCATAACAATAGTTTATGCAATGAGATTAGAATTTGTGCTATCTTTTCAAATGACTTAATGCTCATCTTAACTTGAATATATATATATTATTTTAATTTAGTCTATGCTATACAAGTCCATTATTGAAGATGTGATTGAAGGTGTGCGGGAACTTTTTGCAGAAGAGGGGGTAGAGGAACAGGTTCTGAAAGACTTGAAGCAGGTTTGTTTAGTTCCCCTGCGTTAATAGTAGCTGTGTTTGTTTGTTTGTTTTGTTTTGTTTTTGTTGTTGTTGTTTGAGAACATTCATTTCTTTGCCCTCCAAAACATGCAAACTTTTACCTTAACTTAGAGTTAAAAGTATCCTGTGAGTGATATGTTGGCTGCGGACAGTCGAAATCCATTAGTTATTGTTACCATGTTTATTGGTTGGAATCAGTCAATTTACTCTCGGAAAAACTGGGAATACTTGATTATCTTTTTAGATGTGGTTTGTTTTCAAAGCTGATATTTGTTGACCTTAATAATAATCTTTCTGCAGCTTTGGGAAACCAAGGTGACAGAGTCTAAAGCAACAGAAGGCTTCTTCAGGCATGGCCACTGTTCTGCACAGTTCACCCTGCAGCTGCCACACAATTTTCACAGTGTTCTGCAGGCTTCAGCAGGTCAGGTGTTGGACACAACAGAAGCAATTTAAGAATAGCTCTGTGATTCAGGGATATTTTTGGAAGACTTGCAATAATCTTGGTTTGTGATGCTTCTGTATATAGCACGACGGGGAACAGTAACTATTTGAAAGCAGAATTTGACCAATAAAGGATGAATTAAACTTTGATAAACTAATGGAATTCTCTCTGTGCTCTTGATCTGCTGCCTATTTCCAGTAGCAAAACATGCAGAGAATTTTAGTGTTCTTGTCTGCGGTCCAAAAGTGTAGCCCTTCAGTTGCACCTTTACCTATAGGGTTAAGCTTTTGCTTCCCCTTTTAATGTGTGTCCTGATGTGTGCAGAGGTTATATGGCACATTTGTGCCATGCAGCTCTGCTGTCGTGTTGGAGTTTAATCTGGTTCTCAAGTTGCTGAAATGTAATCTCTTCCTCAAACAGAAGAGAGGGAGCTTTGTGGTTTTTCTTTCAGTTAGTTTTTCTAAAAGCAGTGCTCCTGTTGCAGAGAAGTACTTGACTTTCACACGGCCTCTGACATCAGGACCTATTCTTTTCAATTAAGCCCAGCTGATCACTGTGGTATTGTTGTGGTGGAGTGTAATGCTCAGCTGAGACTTATCACAGAGTGTGAGGCTGTTAGGACCTTTGCCCATAAAGGACAAAACCCATATGAGATGGTTTAATTTAAATCTGTGTTGTAGTGCGCTTCAGGATTGGGTAGGCACTCTTCATCTGGTTGGTTTTTTTTTTTTTTTTTACAGTCTTCATAGTTGAATGAATTGCTTTTGGAGGCAGATGTTTTACTTATTCCATATGCTGAAAGAGAATATATTTTTGGGTTTGCATGCCACTGGAGGTCTTATATTTAATGAGCATTACCTTGTTACTCCTAAGTTTTTAGTGACAATACTAAGGCAAAACAATCTGTTGAAGCCAGTGAATCTATTTCTTTTTAAAAATGGGATTTGAATTGCCTTATGGCCAGAGATTTTCAAAGTATTTAGGACTACCTAAATTGTTTGCTTCCTGAAGCCTGGGAAAGTTTTCCCTTTGGCTTTTTTTTTTTCTCCCACTGAAGTCAGTGTTAAGTGCTTTTGAAAATCTTATCCTACTGTTCCTACTGTTAGCATCATTGGATTTTCTCTGGTGCAGAAAAGTACTTGCATGTTTTCCTCATGTTGACAAGGCAATACTTGTGCTCACTTGGTTGTTGATCTAACGAGTATGAGCTGAAGTTAGATTGCCTTAGTTTCAGGTGTGCTTGCTGTAAATTATTGAAAGATAACTGTGTTAAATTATTTAAAGATAACTGTGTCCAAGAAATCAATGTTTTTTGTAAAGTAGTGGGGTTTTTTGTTTTGTTTATAGCTTCTTTTGTCATCCCAGCTGGCAGAGGTTTTCAGCATTTCACAGCTGCAGAACTGGTATGTAGCTGTAGTGATATTTTACTTCAGTTTTGATTGTCCTGAACTCCTAAAGGGTTGTTTGTCAGTTATTAATAGTCTTAAAGGGGGAGAATTGTAACACTTCTGCTTCTATTTGAGCAGTGAAAAAGGATAGGGATCTACCAGCTGGTTTTGCAGGCAGTGCAGCCAGAGGTGCGTTGGAAGACATGGCTACATGTATTTAGCCCATAGGATGGAAGTGTAGTGGAAATCATCTGCAGTTACTTAAAAAAAAAAAATTACTGGGTGTTAAAATAATGCATGGTTGGGAAATATTAGCACTAGTGAAGCTGGGAGGAGCATTATCTGTGAGGTGTAGGAATCATCCAGAAGCAAATGGATGTTTTCAGAGTTGACGAATTCTGAACTCTGGGAATGGCAAAATTTCTTTGAGGAGGGGCTACTCTTTGTCGGAGCTTGATGAACTTATTGAGAGCCTCCTGACACTCAAGCTAATTAGCTTGTAAAGTTGAATGTAATATTGGGAAGATGTTTCTGCAACGTGTGAGTTCTCTGATTTAAAATTTGGATTTCCCTGAAACAGCTAGTTTGAAAGGGAGCCATATATCCAACTCTTGGAGGAGTTTCAGGAGGAAAAGAGAATGTGAAATGACTTCATAGGCCTAGGAAAGGAGTCTGTGCTGTGTGGAGTAATGCATAAACTTAGGGAAAAGTGACTCTGAGTGGATAAATACCTTTCGGGATGGTGGGTACATTGAAGGGGTGTGGGAAGATGTTCTGTTAACAAAAAGGGAATGTGATAGCTGGGAAGTAGGAAACACTTAGGGCAAGTCATTACCCTGTTAATGCAGAATACTCTTCATCTGTCTGAATCTCAAAGCGTGAAGCAACTTTTCAGTAAAGATGACCACAGAAAGGTCCTAATTGGAGTACCATATGGATGTGTTAGGTGTGGCAGTCAGGGCCCAGGGGATGAAGTGTGCACTGTTTCTTACTAAAACCAGCTCTTGTGTATCCAGGGGCCCTCACAAGCAGGGACAACTCTTGGTCTCCCTTCGGCTGTTGCTTATCCCATACACCTGCCAGCTGGAGTGACAGTACAGACAGCCCCAGGTAAGGTTAAAGAGAACATGTCAAATGTTACAGTGCACTGTGGGTATTGAAAGATGGTCCCAAGTGCAGTAGATAAAACAGATGTGACGTTAAAGTAAAGGTGGGTAAAATGAGTTAACCTTCTCTTCCTCTGTAGTTTGTGTCCATGATTGCTGCGTGGGGGAAGTAATGGCATGCATTAGTTAGTGTGTCAGTTGTGTACACTTGCAAGATCGAGAAGGTATCTCCTTCTCTTATATGAGGGACAATCTTCCATGTTTTAAAAAGATAAAGACACTCCACTGGTTCAGAAACAAATTGATTTCTTATTCAAATAAAATAAAATCAAGCATTAACCTTTTTGCTCACATTCATTTGCTGATGAAATTGCCTATGCTGCTTGTACAAAAACGTGCTTGTGCTGCTTAGGTGTGATCAGTGGAAGGCTTATTTCAGTCATTAAATCTTTCCTCAAACAGCTGTTCTTTGTGAACTAGTGTCACTAGTTATCTATTTCAGGTATAACTCCTGAGGTTTTGAGACCTCTAGATTGGTACCAGTGGCCCTGTGTGTGTGAGCATATGTGTGTGGAGGAGAAAAATCAAATGGAATTTGGAACTTGGCTCTGGCATTGTAATTATAACACTTATAAAAATGACTTTAAGGATTCAGTATTTGGAGTGGTTTTCATAGAATGAGAAGACATAGAAATTAGGAATGGTCTTTTTTTTTCTTTTTTTTAAACTAAACTGGGTAGTTGTTTTAGAGGGGATACCTAAAGGTCCTGAATTCTCCCTGTAGATATAGAATAGTTTATTGTTTCATCTTGTATTTCTTAGTTTCTGAAATAACATAGAAAAAATTCAAAACAGGATTTTTATTTATGTATTGTTTTAAATCTAGTGCGTAATTAAGTTATTGAACTTACTGTTACAGGGTATTGTGTAGGCCAAGACTAAAAATGGGTGTAAGACATGATGGACTGGATTGGAAGCCATGATTCAGAAAGCTTCTGAATGCTTAATTTTCAAGGGCTGAAATTGTGCTCAAGGAAAGTTTTACTTTGTAAACATCCCTTTTCTCATAGTTTGCCTGAGTGTTTGCTATTGGTTTTTAGTGGTAAGAGGTCAGTGGCCTGAATGAACCTGTAGTTTAGCCTGCTGAAGCAGTTTTCAACTCTTCTCTCTATAGGGCAGCTTTATAAAGTAAATGTGCCTGTTATGGTTACACAGCCCTCAGGAGATAGCAGCATTCTACACCCTCCTGTGCAGCAGATAATTCATCCCCTTGGGCAACCTTCAGTTCTGCAAGCCAGCGTTACCGGCGTTGCACAGATGAATGCACCTTCTTTCCAGGCAGCTGGTGAAACACTGCAACCCCAGGAGGCTGTTGTCCAACAGACTGTGGTATTTAAACCAAACATTGTGGAAAAAAAAACCCTGGAGAACTCTGCTTCATTGGTCCAGCAGCCTCCTGCGAGTCAGCAGGAACTTGCAACTAATGCAGTGTTGAATCGGTGTGCAGACTCCACAGAAAACTCCCAGCACGACAATCTTCACACAACTGTGTTTACTCCAGAATCCTCTGTAGGGCTTTTTCTTGATGAATCCTTGGCGAACAACTCGAGCAGTGCGCTGCTGGATGTGGAGGGGCAGCTGGACATGGAGCCTCCGGACCTGGTGCAGCAGCAGATGTCTGATGATATCATTGACCTGATTATTGCGAATGAAAGTTTGGATGACAATGCATTCCTGAAAGGTCAGGGCAGCATTGCTTCCTCTGACAAGGTAATGCCTTTTGTTTCTCAGGTGATGAAAATACATCTGTTGGAGATGGTGGTTTGAACACATCCATAAATGACAAATAGCACCTCAATTGTAAGAATAAAAATTATTTTCATCTCAAAATTCTTTCTTGAGCTTGTTTAGAAGAGCAGTAGCTAACTGCTTATTTTTACATTAAGAATTTGTCAAAAATACTGCTTAAATGCTGTGATGGATGAGAATGTCAATCTAAAAAGATGAAGTGTAATTTATAACAGATAGATATAATGTATTAGACTTCTTGATTACTTTTGGGGATCATAGTTTTTTTGTTTGTTTGTTTTGGTGACTAAACAGACATGAATGACCCCTTGAGAAGTTCCATATCATTCTGACACTGATCAGCATATGGATACATATTTGGTCAGCTGTGGCCAAAGTGCTTTTGCAGTATCAGCTAGGATTAGTTTGAATGAAGGGCATTTAAGTTGCATTGAGGATGAAAAGTCAGATTTGATAAGAGAAAATCTGCTGGAAGAAAATGTATTTCCTTGGGAAAAAGTCTTGAACAAACTAGAACTCAGCTAGAGCTGTGTGGGAAACTTGAATGACTTAACAAGACTCTTTCCTGACCTCATCTAATTTTTGTTCCAGAAATTATTTGCAGATGTTTGAAGTTCAGACTGGCTTGCTTACTTTGAGTTGTAGTCTTATGTGTGATTGAGGCAAATTTATTAGATGCACATTTAATGACAATAATGCCAAATGTCTGAAAATAAAAAGCATGTTATGTTGCTCATCTGAACTTTGATGGCAGGATGATGAAGACTGTCCACAGTAAGACTGGAAGGTCAAAGCAAAGTGTTATTTTGTTGAACTAGAAAGTGTATGTGAATGGGAATTAAGTGCTACAATAAAGATTTAATGAGAAACTGAAGATGGCCAAAACCTTAAAGCCTTTTTATGCTCCTGTGAATGCTCTGTTTAGGAATTCTAGCACTTTTATGAACAGTAACTTGAAGTAGTGAAATGTTTACTGTTTCTCCCAGCTTTTTATATCTTATTTAAACAAAGTGTTTTGATTGAGTTGAAAGAGAGGAATCAGTTCATCTTGACTTTTATTTAAAGAATGAAAAATGTTATTTTTGGGGGCAGAGTAGTAGCTTGTTTTATTTTTTTTTCATTTGAAAGTTTTTTGCAATAGAAATTCTAGAGGCCCACTTAATTGCCTTTTTTTAAGAGTTGTTTGAGTACAAGAGTGCTTAAAGAAAAGTCAAAGAATTCTTTTTTTCCCTGTATTGTTGAGAAATATTTGACATGGGTTTAATTTAAGGTTAGATGTAATGACAGTTTGCAAATGTACTCAGGGTTTAGAAGGAGTAGGACTTGAAACTCTCATTTTAGTGCCCCAAACATGCTGGTTTATGAACAAAAATCTCGGGCTTTGTACTGAACATAGCTTTTATTGTGGTGTTAATTCACAAGCTCTCTGGTCTCTTTTATTCCTGTCACATGGAACCTATACTGAGTAGACGGAATATAACTTCCGATCGGAGAAGGACACCTGCGGTGACATTGAAGGCATAGTCCAGCTAGATGGTACTGGTGATGTTTCATCCAAGGAAGAAATAGCATGTACAAAAGATAAGGAAGAGAATGAATTCATTGGAATTATTGAATCAGAGGATCTAAAAGTTCTGGATGATGAGGAAGACTATGATGAAGAATGTGACAGTACTTCAAATATGGAGTCTAGCTGCAGTGGTGGTGATAATGAAGACCTCCAAATAGATATAGTTGAGGAGGTAATTTACTTTTTAGTAAATTTTACTTGTGAAGCATGTAACAATAGTAGGTGTATCTTGACTTGAATTGTTGGACATAGAACAATTCCTGGTTAGTTTAATGCAGAGGATGCACAGTGAAGTTACATGCCTCAGGAGATAGGAGGTACTGCTGAGAAATTACTCAAAGCTCATTATGAAGAGTGTGGACAAATGAAAGAAATGTTGAAAAGTCATTTGTTTATTGGATTAATTAAAGTACTAAATTATCAGAATTAAAGACCTATTGTAAAACCCTGGCCTCAGAGGAATGCAGTTCTGCTTTTTATTTAAATAAGATATAATAAAAAAAATTTAGATTTTAAATAAGATATATTTAAATAAGATCAGGATACAAATCTAGATTTCCATTCCTTCTGAAGAACCACAGGGAATTTAACAGAGAACAATATGATACATGTACATATGTTTCCTAGGTTTTCCTTTTTCTTAAAGGTATGTGATTTTGTATCCTGGAGATTTGCTCAAAAGAGAATCAACTTGTAGCATTTGGACTTCAAATAAATGCAAGTTGATCAGTGTTCCAGTTACTGGAATCACTTTATCATTTAGCAGTTTTGCTTTTTGACCTGTGTTTTTGTTTAGGTTGTTTTTGAGAATGCAAGCATGTAAAGGTGCTTATAAATGAAGTTTGTGTACCGCGGTCTTCACAGCCTCTAGGTCTTGATATTTTTTCAATGGTAACCCTTATTGTTCTAGGTGTGTTTGATGCCGAGTATATTCAATGCTATTCTGAAAGAGTGCATAAAATAGAATTTTAATTTCTAGGACCCCTTGAACTCTGGTGATGATGTCAGTGAACAGGACATTCCAGACTTATTTGACACCGACAACGTGATAGTTTGTCAGTATGACAAGGTACAGTATGTACTTTTATCTTTGTTCCTTAATAATTCCAAATAATATCTTCAGCAAATCCGTGTCTGTTCTACTGTCAATACCTTGTAAAGAGATTCTAATGCTGTAATAATCGAGTGTTTATATTACGTGTTTAGCTGACAATAGTCTGAAGAATTTCCTGCTGTTTTCTGAAGTGAGGATAATCAGAATGGCCTGTTAAAGGAAAAGAGAACAAGTCTTGCAAAATTAAAATGTGTAAAGGTGCAAAAGCTTATGCATTTCCTTAACTTTTAAGTAATAGCAACATCTCCATGGATGTACACAGGCATATTCAGCCATGAATTAAGACTTTTTTGAAATGGGTAACAGAAAGAGAAGTGTTTAACATTTTTGTCTTTGAAGTGCTTACTGGGAGACTTTAATACCAGAATTCTGTCGTGGCTGAAAAACCAACTGGTTGTCAAGGACCATTTTGTCCTTCATTTTAATGTTTAAAATTCAACCTTATTTTGAACTTCCAAAGATCAGATTAAGTACTAACTCTGGTACGGTTTTGGGTGCTTATATATCAGTAATTTAAAAGCTAACAAAACAAAGTACATATTTTATTTTAAAACAAATATGGAACAGTATGGCTATAGTTTGCTTGAGAATGTGCCTTGACTTTTATTCTTTCAAAAGTGACTAGGCATAGTGAAAAGTAGATAAAACCATTTTTCTATTAAGTTACCTTGTTACCTATAAAAGAATGCTGTTGGCAAAATTGCTGTCCTGTTTCTTTTTCTTTCTAGAAATGAAACTAGACTGCTGAAAATCCAAGGAATTTTCTAGAATTGTTTAAAATTCCTTCTTTTAGTATCAAACAAAGCTTTCTGCAGGATGGATTATTTTGCAGGCCTTTAAAAAGAAACAGAATATAAAAATTCTTTTTTTTTATGGCAGTATTTGCTCTTAAGCAAAGTTTTCATGCCTTTAGCCTTATTCTTACACTGCTGTGCATGCAACATTGCTTTGCCATGTGTATGGAAAAAGGAAAACACTGCATTTCAGTTAAGCTGTACTTGTTTTCAAGGTGCAGTTTGCTTTTGGGCAGACTGATCTCTCATGAAATTGCTCCATTACTGTTGTCTTGTCCTACTGGTGTTGAGTTGTCACGTAGTTGTCCCATTTTCTTGGGAGGGTGGTGAGGGAGTGTGGGAGAAAGTGTGCTAAGATTCATGAGATTGCTCTCTTGAGAGGGCAGGGAATTCATTATAGACAACTGAAATATACTGCTTCCGTTGAATATTTTGGGCTATCAGGATTTTAAAATAAAAATGGGGTGTGTAAACCAGGCTGTGCTAAAATCTTTTTTTTTTTTTAATGGATGGTCTAATACATATTTGTGGGGGCATTGATTTTGATTTTTATTTTTTATCAGATACATCGAACTAAGAACAAATGGAAGTTCTTCTTAAAAGATGGAGTGATGTCCTTTGAGGGTAAAGACCATGTTTTTGCAAAAGCCATTGGAGATGCAGAGTGGTGAAACCTCACTGAAGCATGGACTTCAAGACTGTGGCATTATTCCCTTATGAAACTTCTGTTGTGAAACAACTGGACTTTCTATTGTTTTGCCATAAAACCTCCCAACAGATAATAAAACAACAAAGCTGTGATAAAAATATGCAAAATATATGTAGTCAATACATGCACACTAAAACACTGTATTGTTAGCTACTCAGCTGTCTTTGCGGTTCTTTTCTGACTATTTCATCACTTTTCCAACCAAGAAACATCATTGGAATGATTAGCTTTAAAGTTTGAAATGTAGTATATGTTAGTATTTCTTTACTTTCTTGAATTACAAAGTAAATTCTAGTTCTGTTGGGTTTGTTTCAACTTCCTAAGAACTAAAGTATGACTTGAAATATAAAACTACACAGTTGTTGTTACCATGTATTTCTTTTCAAAGACTGCTGAGTTAAAAAAGAAAAGGAAAACCACATCTGTGCAAGTCTGAAACCTCGTCTTTCCTTCCTCTTTTGCTTTTTTTGTTGCTTTGTGGTTTTTTGACATCAGTTTAAAGGCAGGTGCTTTAGATGTAAGTAAGGGAAATGGGGATGGAAGATCCTGGAGTTCTCAATATCTGAGAATTATTATTGCTTATTCTATACCATCTATGTCTACTGAGATGCAATGAATAGTGTGATGTAACACTAAAATGTGATTTATTTTCATTGTCAATGGAAAATCATTTAAGTTTGCTACTGTACATACCCACTTCATTTCAGGACTACAGACCAGTAAGCTGTGAATGACAAAAATTGTGCATAATAATAAAGTGTCATCTCATATATATTTCTAGCAGAGAGTTGTTTTTGTGTTCCCTAAATATAAACTGTGCTTAGAGAAACGTGTACAAGCCATGCATGTGGCAGTAGCTCACCCTGTCATGAGAACTGCATTCCCACCAGTCCTCAACATTGATTTTTGTTAGTTTGTCTAGAAACAGAGGTCAGAAAGAAGTTCTAGGTCCTAGCCTTTCAGAGCTGCAGCTTTTCCCTGGCTAGCTCTCCTGTTCCTTGTAGGGCAATATTGGGAACTAAATGGTAAAGCCTCAGCCAGGCTGACTCAGAACACGATAATCCCTCCTGGCTGCTGCTCCCATGTCTGCCGAGAGAAGACCTCATGAGACATTTTGGCTATCTCTACTCCCTGAGAGGATGCAGAGGCTTTGAGAAGGGAAGGAAAAGAAATGGGAGAGTGGGAGAGACTGAATATATAGAAGACATGAGGGGAAAAAACCCAGCCCTTGTTCATAATGATGCCAACCCTTGTGCTGATGGCATTAAGAGAAGAGATGCTTTCCTCAGGAGGTAGGTTTTTAACAACTATTTATTCTATGCTTTTGCTGACATATCTGCTGCTCTCCAGTATCAAAGTCAGGACCCTGAACTAGAGCATCTGATCTGAGTGTGGCATTTCTTTTGTCTTTTATAGATATTGCTGCTGGGATGTGAAGAATGTGTATTCAGAGACAGTTAAAGAAATCACACACTGTAATATTTTTTCCTCATTCAGATGACTTGTAGCTGCAGTGGTGCTAGGCTTCAGATCCATAAATGTACAGGAAGTGCAGCTCTTACTACATGATAGATGCTTTTAGATTTCAGCACTCTCTCACAGGTGTTCATGCTCTATAAACGTGCACATTATGAACTGTGGGACCATTTTCAACTTCATAAAAGAATGGAAAGTAGTGTAGCACAGGAATCCATGGGACAGGGCCGGATTTCACCATTCACTAAGCACCACTCAGTCTCTGAATGTTGCTTCTGAATTTGACTTGTTTTTGCTAGTCACTATAAAATAAAGTGGCTAAAGAGTACTTAATTCGTAGCTAGTTTTTAGGACGAGCAGCTTTTTTCTTTGTTGCATCTTGTGGTGTTAAAAGACTGCCTCTACATGAAGGTGAGGAGTCCATGCTCTAAGCTTTGTTGTATCTGCCAATCCCTGTCCCTTCTTAGAACTTGTTCCTCTGTGAATGGATGCTGAGATGTGTGGGATAAAGGTATTACAGCAGGAATTCTTGTCCCATCTCTTCTTTGCCTCACCAACTCATAGTTATTACATGCCTTCTGCCTGTTAGCTGCATCTGCTTTTTTTTGTTCCGTTCTTGAAATTCTTCTTACACTTTGAAGCATTTAAGTTTTGCAACTTAATTTTTATGATAGTTTGTTCCAAGCTCTGTGCAGTCCAGGTATGATGTTGGTTATATAGGCTGCACATCAGGGATTGGAAGTATTTTTTTAAACACCGGTCTTTTACTTCCCAAGCCTCTTGGAAGTTTTATGGCTTGGGCATTGGTGATATTTTTCATCCTCTTTGGCTTTTTCATAAATCATGTGTACTGTCAGCAATTAAAATCTCAAAGGACTGTTTGCCACCTTTCCTCATGAAGCTTTGCTGGCAGTATGCATAGATGGTCAAAGCTGACCTACCTCAAAAGGGATGCTGAAGACGACTTAGCTACATCATCAAGCGTCTCCTGGGTTTTTATTTCATTGCATTTTCTAACCCAGTACCTTCTTGATATGAAGGAACTTTAACGTGGGCTCCATCCATGCCTTCGACAGCACATACAGAAGCTTTAAGAATTAGAATAGGGTTTTGATCTTGCTATCTCAACCCCTTCAGTAGCCATATTTGAGAAAAAGGCTACTAAATTCATAACACTGCAGATATTCCTCAGGAGTGCTTGCAGTGGGTTTCTCAGTCTAGAGCAATGAAATGTCTATTTGGACTCCTGCAGTAGGGCTGACTTTCATTTTCTTCTGTCTAAGCATACAAGAATTCTCCTACATTTTGCTTCCAGTGTTCTTGAATGAACATTGGTAAAGAATTACAGCTTGCAATAAGACCTTTACAATTATATATACCTGAAGTCAGGAATTTTTATTCTGAAAAAAAAATGTTTCTTATTAAAATGTAAGCTCATGTAGCTATTTACTGTAGTCTGTGACTTGAGCAGTAATCAGTGCTTTTGATCTGAATAGTTTGTGAATTAATGTTTTTGATTGCTGCTACTTACAGTTTAGCAAACATATCGCTGCAGATGTGACAGGATGAGATACTTCAGTAAATGGCTGTCTAAAACTTTACACCAGAAAGAAGGTAAGTTTACCAAAAATAATGAGACAGAATAAAAAGTGTAACTTGTGTGAGAAACTCTAGCATGAATCTAAATCTCTTATTAAAGTGTTGCTTTTACTTATTTGCTTACTTTTGTGTGTAGGAAGATTTTAAGCATATAAATTACTTTTGTTGTTTGTCTGTGGTTTTTCTTTTTATTTTTTTCCTTAAATCATCAATTTTGTAAGAGGTGGATTTCACTCAACTTACAGCAGGTACAGTGCAGTTTCCTGACAATGTTATGTGGTAGGGAGGGTGTGCTTGCAAGTTCTTGTCCTGTTGAAACATAATGCAGGTAAATCAGTTATTGCCCACTCAAGACGTTGTTTTCTCATGTCCTAAATAGTTTGCAGGACTCTTCCATGTGATGTCAGAAGAAAAAACTCTCAAAAATCAGTTTTGAGTTAGGTGACAGAGACTCTATAGGCCAGGTAGCTTTTTTTTTTTTTTACATCTCTGTCTTTAGTTTGTATTATAGCTAAATATCCTTTTGTAGTCCTGTTTGCTTAGGAGCTGGTGTGTATAAAGCAGCGCATCATATGGAATTTTTACTGGTTGCTAAACCCAAGAGTTTTAACAGTCTCCTCTGTTCTCAATCCTGCTTTGTTCCCCACCTGTGCAAAGTGCTTGTGAGTACAGCTGTGCTTACATATAGAGCTTTTGAACTGATTGAAATAATAGCATTAAACTGAAGGTAAGAGTGGGTCAGAGATGTTATTGCTAATTATTACATTTATGAATTAATGATAGACCAGTCGCTAGTACAAAGAATTGCTTTCATTAATGTGAAGCAAATTTAGCTTGCAGTGCAGTGTTTGGGCAACTAGAGATGTGCTTTGGATCTCTATTGCTGTCACAGACTTGAAAGCAATGGACTCAGTTGAAAAGGATAATGTAAAATGTTTAAAGTGATTGCAAATAATACCATTTTCATATGTATCAGAGTCTGTACTTTTGGTGGCCAACACGAACTGTTGGGCTGTGCCCATTCTGGAGGCAGCACAGACCTTAGACAGCTGCACTGTTCCACTCAGTTCAGGGTAGGTGAGTATTATACCAGCTGAAGAACTGTCTTCAGATACTGCGAGTCATTTACAGAATGTGATCTAAGATGCTAAAACTGTGACTAAAAGTCCATGTAAAATACATTTGCTTTACCTTTTGTGAACCGTAAACTGTCACATGTAGGTCTCATGCTACTGTATTGTTTGATGAAACGTAAGCACTTGTGTGTTCATCCCATCAGAGGCAAGGGAACCAACCTGTCAAGAATAAGCAACATAAGAAGAGGCTTGATCTGGAGATTGCAGTTTTTGTATGTTTTTGCTCGCAGGACATAGTGAACTTTCTAGTAACTAAGCACCTAATTTTCAGTGTAGAATGTAAGCTCTTTAGGATGTGCCTGGGGCAGACTCCCCCAGGGATCCTGCCTGGCATTCAATGCAATCTGCAGCTTGTTGCCCAGTACAGATTGTTTGGCCCATATGAAGCAGGTAAGAGCTCACACATATGAATCTGCAACTTCAGTGCAGTGCGGTGTTGGCCCATGGTGAGTGAACTGCGTAAGGGTGACAGCTTTTTCACTGATAACAGAGTAAATATGCTGTGATAACGAAGGAATGCTCAGTTCTTAAACTAGGAATGCAGGCACAAATCTGGATCAGGCATTTAGCATGATCACCTAGCATCAGGCAATGCACGGTGAAAGAAAAGAGAGAGTTTAATGGGAAAATAGGGTCACTAAAAAGGAACTATTCTGCTTCATCAGGTGGGAATGGAGTTGGACTGTAGGTGCTGAAGAGCGCCAGTGCATTCCTGAATGCCTCTGGCACAGGTGATGTCAGAGAGTGGACAGATGAAAATGGTTCATGAGACTGTCCTGGAAAGAAAACAAAGCAGCACTTGCCCGTGCAGGGGGCAGTTATCTTGCTGCTGAGAGAGAGCCTTTACAGCTTGCCTGATTTTTGTGTGTGCACATATGATACCCAAAATGGAGTCC